AAAGATTAGTTCACAGTGAAAGATTAGTTCATAGAGAGTGATTCGTTTGCAATGATAGATTAGTTCACAGTGAAAGATTAGAATGCAGAGTAATTAGATCGTAGTGAAAGATTAGTTCACAGTGAAAGATTAGTTCGCAGAGAGTGATTTGTGAGTTCAATATGAATAAATATTTAATATGACTCGGTAGTCACGAGTCACGAATCTTTCACTCATATGAAAGATTCGTTCATTTTGAACGAATCACTCGCGAACGACACATCACTATTTAGAAGTTATTCTTGAGAAGTCTTGAGAAGTCAGAAGTTATTCTTGACAGGATTTGCGTATTAACTACTGTTATACGAGATTTCCTTCTCCAGTCGTTTATTTTGCTTTATTGTTGGACCTGTTTTGTTTGACGTTTGTTGTTAAAACAAATCAACCATCTACCGGCTGCTTCCACTCCTTGCCTGAAGACACCTCGCACAGCAAGAATCCTTCAGAAAGAAATAAGAAAATTCAATAAAAAAATGTTTTTTTTAAAATGTAGCGTTTTGGAAAAATGGGAGAAAAAAATATTTTGAATTATTAAAAAAAATTTGGTCAGATGTTGAAAAACTTGATGAAAACCTTTTTTCTTTTCTTCTAAATTTTATAGTTTCTGCGCGTTTCTCATCAAATAAGAGCATTTTGAAAATTTTTACCAGAAACATCATGGAATCTTTTGTCAAAATCTTAATTTTGAGTATCATGTCGTCAGATGGGTGGGCAATGTCTCTGTCGTTGGTGTGGAACCCCAGGGTTTACCACCTGGGCAAGATCGAATCCCGGTCAGGGCGGTTGGTAACTTCCAGTGGACTCACCACCCGCAGGAAGGTTCGGGGGGGTTGGTACAGTGCAGTGTGAGTTGGGTGGCAACTGCTGCCTTCGCGACCCGGCAATGGATAAGCGGATGAAAATGGATGAAAAATTTTGATAAACATTTTTTGAAAAAAAAAAAAAAAAAAAAATAATATCTTTTCTGCACGTTTTTCCATCAAATAAGAGCATTTTGAGAATTTTTTTAGATAAAAAAACTTTTTTTTTTAAATTTTTCAATAAAATAAAATAAATAAAATGTTGCATGTCCTGGTCAAATGTTGAAAACTGTAAATGAAAATTTTTGGGAAATAAAATTTAAAAATGTTATAAAATGTAAAAAAAACAAAACAAAATAGAATGTTAAAAACCACCGCTGTGTAGAAAACATACATTTTTATATTTCATTTTGTCATTGCAACATTTAAAAAAAAAGACATTTATATAAAATGGACGACTCCACCGTTGTACAAATGAAATTCTTTTTAATGCATATTAGCACTTACTTTTGGATTTACAAATATAAACATCACATTCACTTGAGGTGATTACAGCACGACACCCAAAATACACACGACACCTACTGCAAATAGAGGCTTTTACTTTTACACAATTCAAGAATGTCGTCTCTCCTGCAAACGTTCACGATTTGCTCCCTTTCGTCTGTGTAAAGAGACAGCTAGGTGGCGCCGACGGTGCTCAAATATCCGAATGGTGGTAATCAGTGACGATTAGTTGAAACCGAGTGTAGATAAATGACATTTTCTGCTAATTTGGGATTTTTGAAATTACTGCGTGAATGGGATTTTTTTTTTTTAAATCTGTTAAGATTTTTCTTTAAGTAAAAGAAAATCGCAATCCCGCAGAAACAACCATAAACTCTTTATAAAAAATTAAAGAATTTACAAACTTTTTACACATTTTTAAAAACGTTGGTGTTCCTTAGGGGTGTGTCATGTGATGGGTTCACCCACAGGGGTCAGCAGAAATCCAGAGGCGTTAACTTTGGCAACCAGACCAGTTTGTACAATGGGGGCCTAAAACTGCAGCGCTGGAACCAACTGTGAGTTCTTGTGTCAAACTATCGAGTTAATGAATAAATAAGTCGTAATTATATAAAAACAAACAAACAAAAAAAAAACAACAAAATAAATAAATGTTGAAATGTTGATGACACTCGCGAGGCCAAAGGAACCCCCGGAACTGTTTCGCAATTGACAGTGGTTCGATAACTTAAGTCAAGACATTACTGTACACGTGATCTCGGCTTCGGAAATGATAAATACAATGACGTCAAAACACGGGTTCCAGTCTTGAACAGTTCCGCCGTGTCGCTCCTGAGACATCGTAAACTCACAAAATGAAGATCGTATAAAAAATACTGGGTTTTTCAAATATTTAAAGAATAAAAATAATCGACCCGACCGTCATATAAAAAAAAAAAAAAACAATACTGGGTTTTACAAATATTTAAAGAATAAAAATATCGACCCGACCATCATAAAAAAAAAATTAAAAAAAATACAAAGTCAGCACAGAAACATGCAGCCATTTACCTCCGACTCCGCCCACCAATGTACATCGCCTCCTTGCATGAACCAACACACGGCCCGACCCGGCCCGGCGCGGAACCGGCCGCCATTTACGGTTAGGGACCGCGTGGAACGATATGTTCCGTTAAGTGCAAAGTCTGTCTTGCGAGCCGCAGTCGGCCGTTAGCTAGCCTTCTGCAGCAGTTTGTCCTCTTTCAGTTTGAACGGCACACTGACGGACATCTCCGCGATGAAGCGCTCGCACGCCGTCTTGGTCACCTGCTTGCAGTAGCGAAGGTCGATTTGGCAGATGCTGCCGCAGCGCTTAAAAAAGTTCAGCGAGTGGTCCGTGACCCGGTTACAAACTGGAGGGAAAACAGAAGGAAGAAAAAAGAAGAAAAAAAATTCGATCGTTACTTCAACAAGTCAACGTTTCAAAGTCTTACAGTTACATTTATTACTTTGAGCATTGTCGCCCCCTGCTGGCTCGTTAATACTTCCAGCTCTACTTATCTGGTTTACTGTTGCTGGGAAACGTGAAATACGTACTAGGGTGGGCATGGGCAAACTATGGCTCGGGGGCCCGTTTAGCTTTTTAATCCGAACTTTATACATTTCCAAATATATAATATATATATATATATTTTATATATATATATGCCCGCGCCCCAGTAGTGACTGAGTCACTACTCACTAGTCGCGAAGACTAAACAGGAAGTAGAAAATTGCCCGTTTACCCGATAAGTTGATTTCTGTGAGCGAGTCTCTGGTCGTAGTTCCGGCGGCCGTCAGCAGGTTGACCGACTGGTCGTTGATGTGGTTGCAGTAGCTCAGGTCCAGCCGGGACAACAGGGGCATCTGTCGACAGATGAGACGCAGAGACGTGTCTGTGATGTCCAAACCGGCCAGTCGCAGGTCCTCCACGTTCCGCAGCTTACAGCGGTTATCCAGCTGTCCTATCAGACGAGGAGGGCGGGGGGGGATTTAGAAAAATATGTGGGGAA